AAAAAAAAATCCTAAAATTTATATAAGTTTTTACATTTACGATATTTTAAATTTCAAAATTCTGTAATAAAGCCCGATTATCACCTTCAAAACGAAGCCAGAGCCATTTTTGTAACTATGTATAATAGTTTTTAAGATATTCAAAAAATAAACGTGCAAAATTGGGAAAATTCTAAAATTTCGAATTTTGCATGACTTCCGTAATAAAGTATTTATTTTTTTTTTTGCTTTAGCAGAAATTTTAATGTGCTGAGAGAAAAGTTCTTTCAAAAATCATTTCATTCAAATCAAGAATGCTCCGTTGGAACCATTGCATTATAGGTAATTTGACCCATTTTTGTAGCAAAAATTAATTATGGCCAAAAAGTAGATGACTTAAAAATATTATTTTTTTATTGTTAAGCATACGTTTTTTTTTAAGTAATCTTGAGCCTTGAGTACGGAAGAGTCTAATTTTTTTTTTAATTTGTGGTTTTATTCAAAAAGTTTGAATGCAGTTTTATTTTAGATATTTTTAACTGTCGCCGTTGTGTAGTGGTAAGCAGTGCGCTTAGACCTTTAAAATAGCCTTCATAAAAGGATGGTTTTCAAATTTTTTGCTATTTTGACCATATAACAGTAACAAATAATAGTTTTGAAAAGTTTTAAACAAAAAATGTGTTTTTCGGTTCTTATAACCCTGGAAATGGATTTCTTGACGGAAGTACAGCAAAAACATGGGTTTAAATTTTCTTTAAATTTTATTGGATACACTTTCCATGTCGCCTATTTTTTAAAGGTCAATTTCAAGGACAAGATAATTTTTATAGCCAACGAACAAATTTTTCGTAAACCTCAAAAAATACTGATAAATTTATTTCGCTAGCTGTGATTGTTTTCGAGATTTTAGATTTTGTCACAAAAAAGTTCATTTTCCACACTGTGCGTCATGCTTTGTACAATAGAGATCTCTCACTGGGTTTGCCCACAGTTTAGAAAATTCCTACAATAGTTTACGTTTCTCAAACTGCGTGCATCTAAATATTATGCGACGTCTTATTATTTGCAATTCACGCTGCAATACCATATCTCTCACTTGCTCAAGTTACACGTTTTTAGACACCACTGGCGCACTGAAAAATTAAAATTATCTTGGCTAACAAATCAGCTTAAAAATTCGCACTGACTGCATTGAAACAAAGACTGACTTCCAAAGAAGGCTGATTTTAGTGTGAGTATTTTAATTTGTATATTTTCAAAAGCTTCCGTTGCTTATTAAGTAATTTTCCGAGGCAAAAATATTATCTGGTGAATTTCAAAATACGACTGGCGATTTTTAAATTTATGTAATTTTCCCTCACTTTTGGTATATTTTTTAAAAAATTTCCTTTTTTTTGTGCACACAAATCTTACTCAATCGAAAAATTCTTTCTACTTTCACATCGCTCTCTTCAACTTCTTTCATTGCATTTCCGCTTTTTCTTTCTCTTTAAGTTCATACAGTCCAACTGCTTCTTGGCTCAGCTCAATTTTGTTTGCTACGCTTTGCTTTGCTTTCTTCCTGTGCTCAGTGCAATCTCACTTTAATTAAAATGTCTAACGGCAAATGAGGGCGCATACACTTGAGATGCAAGTAGAGGAAATGAATGTTTCTAATATGTATGAAACATAAGCTACCGGCAAGAAATGAAATTGACGCAAAGGATTTCGAGGAAAACTTATGCATTTGAAAAAGTGTGCTTTAAGAGTTTGCAAACAAAATATATACATACATACATGCCTACTTATGTGTACAACGTAGTTTAGCGTTAGATAAAAAAATTAGAACAAATTCAAAAGTAATCTTTAAATTAAAATGTATCAAAGTTCCAATGGGCAAAGTCATCAAAAACAGCGCGAGCCTAAGAGATCCCTTAAAAAAATTTGTTTAGATTTCATAAGAAGTTGAAGGTATTTTCATAACTTTTATAACGAAGGGTTTTGAGTACAAAGTTTTAATTATCAGAGTTGATTTTTAAATCATCAAAGCGTTGTAATAATACTTATGCCTTCCTTTTGACATACAGAAAGAAATTGTCTGCGATTCTCAACGGACTTATTATTTTTATATATACAACTTTGAGTGCTTTCGCATTTCATACTAGTTGGAGAAACTACCAATCAAATTCCAGAAATACCTTCTCTATATTCCTGGCAAATTCACTGCAATTTCACTGAAGCCAAAATAACAGATTTAATGAAGTACACTAAAATATATGTATGTTCACACAAAATTATAACATTTTTTATTAAATAATATTTTCTAAAATTTCTTTTAATATAAGCTCGAAAATCACTGAAAATTTGTCCACATGCTACTTTTTCTTTTCCGGAAAAAAATTGAATTGTCACAAGTTAAACTAAAATTTGTTTGTTCTTAATTTAAATTTTGGAAAAAAATTCCACAATTTTGTCACAAAAACTTATCAATTTTCTTTAACTTAAGTTCATAGAAAAATTATGCAATTTTAAATTTCCTTTAACCCTTGATTTTAGAAAGCCACTTAGTGCCGTTTTCACAGTGGGGGGTTAACTAAAGTTCGGCAATTAACTTTAAATTTTTGTACTGGAAACTTGTAGTTAACTACCCAATGAGAGTAAACTCCTCACTGTAAAAACGGCCCTTACAAGTTATTAAATTTAAAATTTAAATATTTTATAAATGCCAAAACATATTTAAAATATGCACAAATGCAAATGTCAATTGAAAAAAATACAAACAAAAATTCAGATTTTTAAAAAAGAATTTAGTTGTGTAAAGTAATTTTTGGAAATTTGTATTACTATTAAGGGCGAGCTTAAAAAAAATATATTAAAATTTCTGCTGAGAAATTTTCAAATTTCAATTATCATTTTATATTAAATTTCCTATAATATGCAGCCATGCACACTTTTCTGTTTATAAACGTTTATTAAAAACTTTTTTTGTTATTACTTAAAAAATTTCAAAGAGTGTGTAAATATGTTTTGTAGTTAAAATTTTTTCAACTTTTTTCCCTTCAAAAAAAATTTAAGCATTACAAAGTACGTTTTTGGGTATTTCAGTTATGTAAAAAATCATCAAAAATTACTTTCTATAAAAAGAAAAACAACAATTGTTTTTTAATTAGGAAAAAATCTTGAACGAATATCTTTGTATGTGATTAGCAAGGATTTCAAGATTTGTTGGTACTTAAAAAATTTTTTAGTTTGCAATAATTTAAAAAAAATTTACAAAATATAGCCTGATTGACTCAAACAATTAACTTTTTTCCTACAAACTAATTTGAAGTTTTTTATAGGAATTAAACAAACAAATGTATTAGAAACATTTTGCGCAAATTTATCAAGGATTCGATTTCTTTTTTTAAATTTTTAAACTTTTTCAACTTCCAAAAAATTAAAGGTATGAACTCGGGATTTCATAACAAAAATATCGCCAAAACCTACCATTTTTTATCATAATAAGTAGTTTTATAAAACTTAAATGAAAACAATCAAACAATTTTTTATTCAAATTCAGATAAGCTTTCAAAGAAAGTAGAATGTTGTATTCAAAAATGTTCAATACTTTCTTTTAGAAAAGTCCACTTAACAATTAACTTTTTTGGTTTGGAACTAAAATTATAAAATATTATGAAATTTACAAATTTTGTCAGAAAATTTTTTTAAAAGGTGTTTAGCCTAGGGGTTATATTGTTTTTTTTTTTTGAAATTGAAGTTGTGTAAATTACTTAGTTTATATTTTCTGTTACATATACGAATCAATATTTGCTGCATTGTGTGTAGGGCATAAATATATGAATGTATGTGTTGAAACATTTCACTACCTTTCGTTTCCTTGTACTCTCCTCCTGATCCTCACCTGCTCCAAAATAATTACAAGTTTTCTTTAGGAACCACTTCAACACTTTTTCAACACCATCACCTGACTGCAATAATGAAAAACATGGAATTTTTTATTTGCACTTTTTTTCTGAATCTATAAATTTTTTTCAATATTTTTTTGTTGCAAATGTTGCATCCATTTTAAACGCACGTTCTTTCTCGAATTTATTCTCGAAAATTCACAATAATATTTTTCTATCAAAAATTTTAACTCACACTGTTTAATTTAATTCATTTGCTTTCGCATCTTTTTTTAACTGCCCCAATTTCACAAAATTTTCAGCGAATTTTCCGCTCAAATTCCAGCTGATAGCATTTTCACTCTCAAAAATATTTAAAAATTCTTGTTGCAAATTTCTGCTTTTACTACTCACGCACATTCAATTCACTGCACTTTAAACTCTTTATTGTATTTAAATTTTTTTGGTATTTTTTTTTTGTTTGTTTTAAATTTTTGCACACAATGTATGTATTTATTTATTCACTGACATTTTCACGTGCGCACACACACTTACATATGTACCAATACGTATTGATATTAGCGCCTATATTCATTTACATTTCATATACTTTGGTATGAATGTCACTAGTATAGCCCTGCCTTTGTGCGTGTGTGCCTATATACACTCATGTGAGAATATATGTATTAGTCTAAACACCACTCAGAAAAAAATATTCACCGCACGCGCGCATCCCTTCGGAGGGAGGAAATTCGTGTTGCTGTCCGCTCGGAGGCTGAAAGCCTACTAGTCTTGGCCAGCGATATTGGAGAGCTCTTGCTGCTCAGTAGCTTGCCAAATTGCTAGGGAAAATTCCAAAAAATTTCCCTGTCGACGCACATGCACACGAACACACACTCTTTGAAAGTTAGCGTCCCACCCTCCTGGTACGCCCGCTCCCTCGTTACGGGCATTTCGGCACCACCGAAGCACACGTTGGCGCCTGTTCGCCTGCCGACTTACTGGCTGGCCATCCGCTCGGCACATGCCGCCGCCGCCGCAACAGCTCAAAGCAGTGCTAGCCCGCTATTGCGGTGGGTCGGCAACCGTCAGCGCAGAGCTGGAAATGGTTTAGCGCGCTGTTGAGCCAGATATGTCCATTGAAGGGAATTATTTTTTAGCTTTATTTGGAATTTGCACCTGAAAGTCTCCAATTGCAGGTGGCCGCCGTTGGTTGCTTGGAGAGTCTCCAAACACTTTCATTCATGCGGATCTGCGTCAGGGCGATTATCTGGCGCGCCAATTGGCGGGATCTCAAAAGTATTGGAAGCGGGTAAGTGGGAGCGGGAGGAAGGTGGTCGGCGGGAGTTTAAGGTGGCGAGTTTTATTTGTGGAAATCGGGAAGCTTTAAGTATTTTTTTATTCGTGTATGTTTACACTATTTTTAGAATATACAAGAATTTTAAAGGAGTTACCTACGTATGTATGTGTGATATACAAAGCGACATATTAATTTATATGACATCATATCAAAATCATTAAAAAAAAAATATTTAGAAAATAATTTATGCTCATACCCTGCCAGCATTTTCCATCGCTGAAGTAACTAATTCGATACGACATTTCTATGCAACTCATCGCCGGTGATATCGCTACATTTTCGAATTCTTACCCGCTTGCGAGAAGAACTGTGCCACCAAAGCGTCTCGTGAAATTCTTCAACGACAAGAAAACGCAATAATGCTTTTTTCAATTTCAAATTATTGACAAACGTTACAGTAATTTATCGTCTGAATATTTGCTTGAAGAATACAAATTCCGTTAAAATTGTATGTTGTTTTTGTGTAATGATCCCCTCTTAACTTAGAATGGGGACGAAATAGTGACATCTTGGCAGTAGGCGATAAAATTATTTTCTAATTGCTGGCAGGAGGTTACGTACATTTCAACTAAGAAAAGGTAGACCAATGTAAGAAGAAATTAAAATTTTTTCAGAAAATTTATTGAGATTCTTTTAGCAAAGTAGAACATTTTTTCTAAATAAGCAAGTACTTGTAATATTTAATATTGAAAAAAAAAATATCTCAATAATCAAATTTTCAAAATTTTTCACTTAACCGAAATATTATTGAGAGTGACAGTAACAAATTTAGCAAAGTTTTAAAAACTAAACTTGAATTAATTAATGACAACTTTGTGAAACTGTTAAATATTTATACAAGGCTTCTCTGACTGCTAAAAAATTCTGGTGAATAATTTTTCAAGATTTTAAAAATAACAGTTTTAAGAACCAATAAGTTTTTGTATTAACGAAAATATTTGGCAAAAAGGTTATATACTCGTACGTTGAAAAAGTAAACAAATTTTTATTTTTTTTTCACAAAGTGTTATGAAGTTTTTTAGCCAAATAGTACAATTGGTTTTAAACAAGTACTTATTGAAAATTTAAAAAAGTGCATTTAAACATTCAAATGTTGTGGAAATAATGAAAATAAAAGTGATTACATACATACATATCGCACATTTAATAATATAATCCATTAGTCTAAACATATTCTCTTTTTCAAACTTATTAATTGTAAGATGAGATCTCCAAAAATGTAAATTATGCAATTACTTCTTATATTATTAAACGTGTTTATGTAAGTTAAATATCATATATATAGACTTATTTTTAACATATTTTTCAGCATACAAAAAATTTTTAATTATTGAAAATTAAAATTTAAAATTTTGAAAGCAAAAGGTTATTTTCTATTAATTCAAATATTTATCAAAAATTTTAGAGAAAAATCTCAGTCAAAATTTTTTAGATGAATTAGATGAATTCTACCAAGTATCCACAGGGTTATCCTTTTTTTAATTCAAAATTTTAAATTATTTACACGAAGTTTTTTGCGATGGCTTAAAAAGTTGTGGCGTACATTTTTCAATGCGTTAAAAATTTAAAGATAATTTTTGAAAACCAATAATTTTAATTTTTTTTTTTTGTATTTAAAATTATCTCAATTTTTCTTAGCACATTTAGAATTTCAAAGAACAAATCTCACTGAACTTTGTTTTAATAAAACGCGGGAAAAGGTTATAGTATTTCCAAAAATCTCCACAAAAGCAAATAAAATGTTCGATATGTATAGAAGGTAAGAAATTGTTTAAGAGGCAAAAATTCAACGAATTGGAGAAATTTTAGTGAACTTCCGTCAGAAAAAAAATTTGAAAAAAATTTACAACTTAGAAAAATTTAAACAAAGAAAACTCACTAAAAACTAAAATAAATTTTTTTATTATACTTACGTGTTAGCATTTTTTTTAAGATTTAAAGTACTCGCTTCTAGGAATAATTATGAAAAAAAATTTTAAATTATATTTTGTTTTTATAGAATCATGTTCTCAGAACCTTTTAAAAATATCCTTAAAAAATTTATTTCTAGGAATAATTATGAAAGAAAAAAATTTTAAATTTTACTTTTTTATAGAATCGCCTTTTTCATCAATTTTCCGCACTTCTACATTACTTTAAACTACGCAAAATAACAAACACTTCCTATTTCAATCTCTAAAACAAAGTCCTGCAAACAGCTTCATTTTCAGTCACACTTCCACTTTTGGATACGCACTTTAAACGACTTCCATTAATTCGCAAGTTCATTTAATATTTCATGAATATTTTACGCACAGATTTACTACACAAATATACTTTTCTACATCAAATTTCAGGTGCGCTACACAAACTCTCCACATTTTTTTTTTAATAATTCATTGTATTCGTGCCACAAATTCTACTGCTCCAACAGTCGCTACAAATCCGTAAATCTCTACAAGTAATTGAGGATTTTTCAGCTTTCGCGCTCTTCCGCTCTTCCAACAATGGAAGCTATAGTCACATTGCGCTCTCCCAGCGCCAAAACTTTCTCCTTGAACTGCCAGCTCACAGAAGGTGAATGGGTATTTCCCAATTTCTATGTACTTACATACGTATGTGTCAATTCATACATACATATGTATATACACCGAGACTGTTGAATGCTAACAAGTGGAGCAACAGTTTGCGCCAACAACAAGCATGAACTCACGTATAACTTACTGACACACAAACAGCCGCATTCAGCCATGTTTAGTTTGTAGGTACTTATGTGGAGCAGCAAGCAAAAATCTTTATTCAACTGCATTATATCCTACATATGTACATATACGCGTACTAGTGGTTGTACGAGCGGCGGTGAGGGTTAGCGGGTCCAGCCGCCACACACTTTTTCCCATGACTTACATGCTTTCTCTTTTAACTCTCTTATCAGTGTGGTACCGGAAAAGTTGGATGAATGAACATTTGCTTGTTTTCCGCTGCTTGCCAGCATTACCTACACTAACGCAGGGAGGCTTTTGATATTGAATATGGAAAGTCGCATGTGATCTGCTTTAAAAATTAAAACACCGTCAATTTTGTCTGGCTTTTCCGAAAAGGACTATCATATTTTTATTTAAAGCATTTAAGAAGCTTATGCCATTGCTTTCAACCTCGTTTGACTTTTTTGCATTATACTACATTAGGATGTTAAGTTGGAGACCAATCAACGATATTTTTCAATTTCGAAAAGTTCTGAAGCCCTCTACTCTGAGATGTGACATTTTTTCAAGCTCAAAGTTCGTTGTAAAGCTTTAGACTTAGTACATTTCTTGGTCTAAATATAGTCCCGTAATCAGCTATTTATGTAGTCTCGGAGACGATTTTCTCATTTGTGACTTCAACAAATGACTACTCAGACTTAGCGTAGTGTTGGACCTTTAGTTGATTAGAGCTTTCTGGGAGTAGGAAGAAGGAAGGAAGCAGGCTCAGGTCCAAAATAAACGCCGTAAGCACCATTAGGCTGACGTTAGAACTTCTAATGTTACAACCAAACCCGAAAGGTTTAGGCTATGTGGAATCCTATCCAGTCAAGTCTGAATCCATCTCTCGGTATGTCTTATTAAATTCGTAGTTTACTGGACACCTCTGAAAATAAGATGGTCGGTGCGTGAACTAAAGAGCATTTTCGACGTCCACGAGAATGAGTAGAACCCACTCGGAGCGAATGTGAGAGAGAAAAATGCGACAAAGTCCTTACTGGACCCTGTCATATCGTCTACCACGCCAAAAAGGCAAGACGTCATCTAAAACCACTACTAAAAATTGGCAAACGGGAGGACCGTTTTGGGAGAGTACTAGTACAACTCCGAAACTAAGAGGTCTAAATTATTACAAGATAATTACTTATTGTTGTTGCTACTTAGGAACTTTGCTTAACCTGCATATAAATACTCAGCGATGCATG